GGGGGGGGGGGTGGTTTCAAGTGCAATGTAGTTTTTGTACTATTTTTTTTTCTTTTCTCCACTGTTTTGTTCTTTTATTTTTGTACTGTATTGTATTTATGTCTTTTTAATAGCAAAAACCAAATAAAAATTTAAAAACAAAGCTACTGGTGAGCTATCACTGATGTATCATTGTAGTGGCTGCATAACTTAACTTGTGGCTAGTGGCTTTGCAAATTCTTACTTTTCTAGCTAATTGTTGGCATACTGAAGCAATGCTAACTTAGGTACAATTAGATGGCAATGGTTTCCAGTGATGTCCAGGTAAAAGTTACACAGTTATGCGTAAGTACTGCTACTGTTTACCAGTCAATTCAAAGTCAGTTTAACATGGATAGTCAAACAATATACTGGATGACTATAGTGTCGCAAAGGTAACAGTAAATGGCCACAACAGCACGATAAGGTAAGGTATCAGCTGAGTTTGCTTGTGACAACCATACATATTGGCCTGCACTGGTATTGATTGATATATCAACCAATACTCAACCCATGTATCGATCAAATATCAGACAATAATTACTATTAACTGATATTGATACTATCATTAATTTATTTTATTATGTGGCTGTGTCTCACAAGGACTGGGAACTACCAATTTCAGGAATTGGATTGGCCAAAATCAATATTGAAAGCGGTCTAGATTTTCCCATCTAGAATGGCATCTAGACCGGTAATGTTTTGCGGTGAAAAAGTTGCAAACTAAAATACAAAAATATTGGCTATTTTCTTATGGGAGAATTAATTTCAGCTCGTCGTCATTCACAAGCAAAATGTCAGCTACATTAAACAAACTAAATTGTTCTTGTTTGCCACATAATAAACATCTTATTAACCGAGCTTGGACTGTATGGGAGAATCTTGACCTCACTCGTGTGCAGACTTCACTGTGTTCGGTCTGTACTCATGACGTCAGTCTAGATTCTCCCATATAGACCTCCTGCTCGGTTAATAAGAGCTAAATATCAAACAATCACTGTCAGTGTCTGTTCTTCTTTGCTACATGACTGCAAAATCACTTGACTTAGATTTGAGAATGAGAGTGATACATGATATTATAGCTTGCTTTTCTGAAATATACTTTTCATTGCCATTCTCAGGATGATTTGATAGTGATACTTTGATATCTCAATTTACCACTTTTTTGGCAGCTATCATGATAATCTCATATGATAATGATATTTTGATATTTGACATGCACATTGTGATAAAAACGATTTCTCCATATTATTCTATTATTACCAAAATATCAATAAAATATCATTTTTCAAACTAATGATATTCTATCAAGATATTTTGATAAACCGCAATCCTACACCTCAGTGACCAATGGATTCTTTCCAAGTACAAATGCCAGTAAATTTTCCACAAGCTTTCGAGTACTGTAAATGAATTTGTGCCCACCTTGGTACTATCATGATAAAAAGTCTGCTTCAGTTGTGAAGGAAAAGGAGGGAGGGTATTTCTCTCTTCTCCCCCGCCCCCCCTCCCTTCGTCGTCTCTTCATATTTGAGAGAGGGGGACTTCATGATCATGGGGAGATTCTGGTACTTTTGTATCAGTAATTCTGCTACCCAGGCCTTAGAAACCTCTCACCGTCTTGCAGCATTCCGCCCAAAGGATGATTGCGTAAACGAAAACAGCATTTTGTCGGCGTTGGATTGAGATTCTTACCTGGATTTCTTGACCATCCTCCCTTCGTTCAATTTCGTAAACTTGCATCTCTTGAACGCCGACTTCCGATAAAATCCTCTTCGCCAGAATTGAAAAAGGACAGGCTGTTTTTGAAAAAACTACAACGTTGTGGTCTTTAATCGCCTTTTCTATGAATGCCCGGGCTGTCCGGACCGCCGACATACTTCACATCCTCAACACTAAGCCGCCATTTTAAATTCTACCCAGCAAAAGTAGCGCCCTACTCTTGCACCCAGACCTCGCTCACACTGATAGGGACTTTGTGGAGCTGAAAACGCCTAGGAACGGATCCCTAGGGAAAGAGGTAACCAGTCGCCTGTAGATACCTAAACCCCTACATCAAATTAAAGCTTATAGAGCTGGCTATCAAACTACACCAAGAATTTTGAAATAAAAGGAATTACTGATTTTTTTCACGACCACTCAATGCGAACGTCATAATCACCTTTTGGAAGCTACAAGTCAAAGCGAATTTTGGTTTTCGCCAATTTATTTTTTCCCTCCATTTCAGGACAAAAAGCACTAAAAAGGCGTGTCTGCGTTTTGCCATATTCAATTGCAGTAAAAAGTTACAGAATATTTTCGAAATAGGATTGAAAGAATGTGAGGTGATCCTACAAAAATCGCTCTCAGAGAAAGAATATTTCGAAATAAACAATCCGCAGACATTGGTTTGTTTTCTATATGTTAATCTAGCTACTGTCCAAACTTGAGGGCAATCGAACAAATTCCCTTTGATTTGTAACTCTTTAAAAAGTCTGCTTCAAGCGAAAAAATTTATTAGAGGAAATAGCGCCGAGAAAAATATCTTGCTTCGCAAACACACTCGGCCCACAAAACACCTTCAACTGGGTTCTCAGATCACTGAGCCAATCAGCGCTTGGAAAGTTTATTACTATTAACCTCGCTCCCCGAGGTGAAATTTACTCGCGAATCTCCGAAAAACCCTTGCGTTTCGCAATGCGCTCAAGGCGGAGAGATAATTTTTCCGTAGTTCGGTTTTTCTTGAAGCTGATTAGGCAAAATACGGACGACGAAAAAAAAAAACGAACGCTAGAGTGGCTGGGCGAAGAAAACAAACAAAAGAAAGCGCGGCGGCGCAAATGTGCATGGATAATATTCCAATGGATCTCAATGAGTCCGACGATTCATCGGTATCAGACTCCACAAAAGAGTCGCTGTAAACATCGCTGTTATCGCTGTCAAGTTCCCAAATTTTTACAGAACCTTTCTCGATCTTTTTGCCCGCTTGATACGAAAGCTAGAGCTTCATCCGCGAGGCCAACTTTCGCTTCTTCACTCATTGATGTATTTTTATTAGTTTTTCGCTTTTACGTGGTCCATGTTTACTTACAACTTACTTGAATTATAGGGGAAATGCTTGGATTAACAATGCTGATCAACTGAGTAGCCAGCCAATTCGTGGTATCCGTATAGGTAATATTCCCGCGAAAGTAATGTCGGTTGATTGCATACACGAGTAATATATAAGGCTGTTAATCAAGAGGAAACTTTTACTTCCGGCCATAACGTAAAAGCTCCATTTCTCCGCCAATATTAAGTTTTTTCCATTTTTGTTTTCAGAAATTAGAAATTACTCTTCGACCATTACTTTGAAGAAAATTGTCGATCTGAATGTATACGGTAACCCTTAAGACGATTAAGAAATTAAAAAAAAAAACGGTTAAAAAATATACGACGTTTCGACATTCTCGGACGTCATTATCAAGTGAAAAAAACAGTATGGATATTCTATAAATACAAGAAAAAACAATAGTTCATTAAAAAGAAAGGTAACATAAAAATATGCTACAAGCTAAACAACGAGTTTAGCACTGATGGAGTCACTCTGAGTGTTAAGTCTAGGCCTCGGTAGTCAAATTTCCCAAGGCACTTCTTGAGAACACGAAATTGGCCCTCATTAAGAATATTTTTTTCACCGTGC